GAAATGAGCCGACATGAACGATCGCGTGTTAGTTTTTGAGGGTGGCGACACATGATTTGATGATGTTACTGTGGCCGTGCTCAGGACGCAGATGTCTGGAGCGCGTCAACAATCAGAGCTTTGCATGTGCAAGCTGGTTAAGGTTAGGATGGGGGTGAGGGGAAGGTTAAATTGCAAGAGGGTAAACGTCACAAATTGGTTAAATGTCCGTTTTACGGCGGGTGTCAGTACAGATGCTCTGGCACAGCGCGTTGCCTCCCGGCACGCAGGAGCTTGTCACCTGCTGACAGCAGGCTGCTGTCTTTTCCGTGGACTGCATCTTGCCAATCATTATCACGTGACAGCGACTAGTCGATGACAGGCATAAAAAGTCACTATAGTGAAGTTGACTAGTGACTAGTTCATACAACCCCTGCTACTGCTCTCCAGAGTGTTCTGCAGCATAATCAGCACGCTCTCTTTGAACTTGATATCAAATTTTCGCCTCCTCTTCGTCTCCGCATGGTTAAAATTACCCTCGTGGTCTATCACTGGCAAATCAAAAGTAAGACGGATGACACAACCACCCCCCGTACTTGCTTGTTACCACATTCCACCCGGCCACAATAAAAAAAACGGCCATTATTCACCTCCGCTGACTCAGACACCGGCCAAAATATGATACCCGGCAGTAGAGCTATGGCGGCGCATCGATGACGTTGACGGCTCGATTCTAAAAATTCGTCGACGTCAAATCCGGTAGTCGACGCACCACGCCCACTTGTTGCATCCCCAGGAGTTTGTAAATGGAGGAGGAATCTGCCTGTTTTTCCTCTAGTTCGCCCTCTTCTCCGCCTTCACTAACATCTCCGCCAAATACCGAAGACCCGGAAAAATGTCCGTCTGCTACGAGTTTCCTTTCCTGTTGTTTCCTGATCACTAAAAAGTGAAGCACAGTTCTGCCTCTTATCCAGAGCTACAAGTATGTCATTAATTACCTTTGTAGCTGCAGTGATGGTGCTGTGCTTTTTTTCTGAAACCTGATTACAGACTTGAGAGAAGGTCATTTGAATATAAAAAGTATTTCAACTGTTCACTTACTAGGGTCTCTAGAATTTTTACCAGGACACACAGATTAGATATTGGTCTGTTATTTGTTAACAGAGCTGGGTTACCATCTTTTAGTAAAGAAGTCACAAAAGCCTTCCAAACTAGTGGTATTTGTTTTTTATAGAAAGGTTAAAATGAGCTGTAAGATGCTCTGCTTTAAAACAAAGATGTTTAAATAAAATATTGAATTTAATTCAGTCTATGCTGTTTATTGAAAGTAGTTAATTAAGGAATAGCATAAAATGGTCAGGGTCGCACTTAAAATATATTTTCTACAGTTTATTTCCTGCATATCTATATTTCAATAATTAACAATACGATCAATATGATCAATATTTGTATTGATTTGCCTTTTTTCTATATTGTCCAATATCTCATTTTGTTTTGCATATGTGGATATTTCTCTACAACATGCAGGATTTAGTATTATTGTTCAAGTACTATTATGGGTGTGGTCTATGACTCAAGAGTTGGAATGGGTTGTCCACCAACAGGAATATCAGTTGAGAATATCAGTAAAAATGCTGTAAATGAGTACAACTACAAGTATGAGATCTTTGACATCCCACAATACACGTCGTATATAGTTATCTACAATCAATCAAAATATTGACAATTTTATTTCTAAAATGTGTGTTTTTATTTTTGTGGAGATAAATGGTGTACTGCGAGAAAAACGGATGTCTCCTCTAGTCCATTAAAACAGGACATGTTTGTTTGTTTGATAAATGGGAGTCATTGTATTTGAATGATCTTCAACACCATTTATAACAAGATTGATTTAGCACACAGCTCTCTGTAAAGGGCTTATCTGTGCAGTTGACAGGCAAAGTAAATTGAACAGTCTTTACCTGCATTGACTTCCAGTAACCTCCTCTTCTTCTGCTGTCGCTCCTGCTTTTCACGCTCAGCCTTCTCCTTCGCTGCCCATGCTCGCCTCTGTTTCTCCTCCAGCTCTCTCCGTCTAAAGTTCTCCTTCAGTGCTTGCTGTGTTGGGAGAGAAGAAGCGATGAAAAGAGAGAAAGAGAAAACATGACACATTGCTAAGTTGGGTTAATTACAGTGGTGTAGAGCCTGTCAAAGGCAGAGTCAGCTGTCAAACTGCACAGGCATCTTTATCAGGCAGTATTCAAGTCGGATGACGCTTCTAAGGTGCTCTGTCACTATGGTCTTGCCAGACATAAAATTGCTTCACAACAGGGACTTCAAACACTAAAGTGGCATGAAGCTGAGGGAATAACAATCTCAAGACATGAGTTTATATTTAGCAACATTCATCCATGAACCTCATCTGGGTTTAGAGGCAAAACAATGGTTTCTATCTGTTTGTAAGAAATTGACCACTAAGCTAAAGATCTGGTTCGAACACCCTTGGTTGCATTACCTACAAAACTTTTTTAAGGAGGAGGATATCTTTCTACCTACTTGGTGTTATAAGATAGTTTTTGTTGTAGTTATTTTTTATTCTACAGGTCTGACCGTAATCAGGTCTTGATGTGGCTTGTGAAACTGAACTCAGCATTTTAAATACAGTTAAATCACCTCTTAAAGTGATTTACCAGCTCAGTGCCCTAGTGGTAGAGTGTCCGCCCTGAGACTGGGAGATCAGGGTTCGATTCCTGGTCGGGTCATACCAAAGACTTAGAAAAACTGGGACCCAATGCCTCCCTGCTTGACACTCAGCATTAAGGGGGTTGGATTGGGGGTTAAACCACCAAATGGTTCCCGAGCACGGCTGTGTCTGCAGCTCACCGCTCCCCCAGGGGATGGGTCAAATGCGGAAAACAAATTTCGCACACACATCAGTGTGTGTGACAACTAATGGGACTTTAACTTCAACTTTAACGGTCAAGATGTTGTTAGATCGCTGTATTCCACAATGAATGAAATGTGATAAACATTGCATTGTAAACAAAACTGTTACCCAGGTGATCTTTAAAATTTAATCTGTGTTCTGATCTGAAACACTCAAGTGTTATCAAAAAGACAATGAAATCATTTAAAAAAATCACAACACTTGTTTTTATTTAAGCAGATTTGATTAAAATGAATAAAAATAATTAAATGACAGTGGAACAGGTGCCGAGAGCTGCATTTTGACAGTTTAAGTGTAACCATATAGTAATATAAATATTTATCAATTTAACACCTAAACCTGTCCTCAAAGTCTAAATATTTATTTTTTATTATTATACTGTTATTAGTAGTTTAATTTTTTATTTATTTTAAATGTACTAAATAGAAAAAAAAGCTGTTTAATTGCAGACACTTTTTCTTCTATAACTTCTTGTGTTAAAAGGAGGGGAAGTTTTATGTCAGCGACAGTTAAACTGATGTTACCAACAACTAAACTTGTCAAACTAGTAATTCCCATCAGTCAGCATTGAATTCATCTGAAGGTGTAATTTCCGTCGTAGATCAAGCCCTGTGGAAACAGGGTCTATAATCTCTGTTGTTGAACTCATACGATGTCAATAGCTCAATAATGCCACAGCCAGAGACAGACTGCATGGGATTTAATAGAGTGGTAGCATGACTGCCATGCTGATCAATAGCCTGTCACTGAAAGCAAAGAGGTCTGGGTTTTCATCAAACACTCAGCTTCTCCTCATGCTGCAGTCACGCAACCCAGTTTGAATGGCGGGTTCGTGAAAAAAATAATAACACCAAGGAAACGTGAAGTGATGTCCATGGAAAGAAACACTTTATAAATACACTATGCTCTATAGAGGACTGCAGTAGACCACTAAAGAGTAGCAGTAATTTACTGAGGCCACTTTCAACCTCTTATTATAACTGTATAAAAGTGACTGTTGTCAGGAATGATTCAGTCACCTGGAATTTAAAACAATTCAGTGTCATTGGTTTACCATCAACAAGCCACTTTAGATAAAGAGCAATGCTAACCCGATCCCTATGTAAATTACTAATAACAGGGAAGTATAGACTGTTCACATTACCGCTCTTAACCCATACTTGAATCCTGTGTTTTCTATACTGAGTTGGACTGCACTGAGTGAATCTGCTGCTGTACGATCCATCCAATAAAAACCCTCTACATTGTGGGGTGCTTTTATAAACAGAGCATTCAAAAGGAGTAGAGACTTAAAAATGACCAAACTGAGGCCAGGTACAAGGTTTAATCAGTGTTAAGATCCATCCAAATTTGATATAAGTATAACTGGTGTGACAAAACCTGATTGGACATCATAGTGTGTTCACTACCGTTAGTCTGACAAGGGGGAAAATAATAAAATAATAATAACAACAGGAAACATTTAATGAAATCTGGTGGAAAGGCTGATTATGTAAAAACAAATACCCTCTTGAATTTTTGTGCATGTTTAAGAATGTAAATAAAGAGTGTTGAACTTGTAAAAACAAGATTTTTCATATAGAAATATCACACATGTGTTGTTCAAGGTCCTAAAATGCACATGTCGTTTGATTGGACATTCATCAAAGTGTGGTTTTCTAAAAACAGGATTTCATAATAGCAGTACAGAATATATTAGCATGCAAAGAACCCACTAGTTGTGTAAAAACACACCAGCAATGGCTGATTCTACCTGGAAAATGATCTTTTCTTAAAGCAGTCATTAATGTACCGGTAAATTCTTGCCTGGGAAAGCTGCAAAAGCAAATCTGCAAAACAAGTTAGCTTAAACATTTTTTGTGTCTCTTACTGTTCTAACGTGTCAGAGTCAAGGCCCGCGGGCCAGATGCGGCCCGCTGAGCATTTTTATGTGGCCCGCGAGATAAATATCAAAAATATATTAAAACTGGCCCACTGGCCGATTTTACCGCAAAGACTTCAACTCCCATGATGCTTTGCGGCGTCAGCGCAGAGCCAACGACGCCCCCTCCTTTGTGTTTTTTCAGCGCCTGCTGCCGGTCTCTGCAGCTCCGCTGTCTCGGACAAACTACACTCCTCTCACTCAGCGCCGAGTTCGCTCAGCTGCTTTCTGACATTGAAGCCCAGAAACGGAGATTCTAGCCGCTCAGTAATGTGTTCACGACTTAAAGAGAAAGTTTTTCAACTAACGTCCAGACAGAGCTGATATAACTCCAGCGAACAGCGACACGCTCAAACCAGCACGGCTCTGTGGCTGCTGTAGTTGTGTTTCCTCCCCGACACACAACAACGTGGTCAAGCTGCTCAGACATGTTCATCAGCACAAACCTATGTGAGCACCTGTTGTCATGTAATGTTGTCATTATTATGATGAAGATGAACAAAACAACAGGAGTCTCCTCCTCAGCTCAGATCAACCCCATGATGCAGATATCTGGCTGCAGAGGTGTGAGAGGTTCTCAGCTCAATAGTAACATAGGAGAAACAGCCGACCGCTACCAGTTAAAATTTTGGATAAACTACCAGAGTACCAAAAAGAAAAACACCATTTGAAATGATCAAAAACAAGAGGTTTAGATCTAGAAAACGTGGTGTTTAGCACTTTCACATTTCCTCTGACAATGAGGGTTCCGGGTTACGGCAGCTGTGGACCAGGGAAGATACTCGAGGGGAGGGGGTCAGTGTTCCGTGACCAAGTGTGCGTTCAAAAGCCATCTTATTTGCAGATCCACTATTGCAGCTTTAACAGCAATATCATATGTGATATTGTAAACTTTACGCAGACACGCATTTCTTTATCACCATATTTAATAAATTGTCAATCTGGATAAGACCAACTAAAGTCCAATAACTGTGACCCAAAGACCAAAACAAGGCTCTCCAACAAACCCAGCAAATTTCAAGAATTTGACAATACAGGACTGATCTGGCTGCACTTGAAAACAGTCTGTCACTAAGAGCCAGATAAATAAATCCTCTTAAATGTTCTTAAAGTGACGATGTGTATTTTCCCTGGCGCTGGGGGACAGTACATGCCTAAATCATTGTAAGCAAGTGCTTTGTTTGTATTTGAGTAAGACCTTACCAACGGATGGCCATTAGGGTAAAAAATTCCTGGGAGCGCAACCCCCAGTAAAACGACAACACATCAGACTCTCTTTCATCACTGGCAACGAGTGAAGAGGTGAATGTGTAAAACTGCTTTTGTGAATGGTGAAGGTTTTATAACTGTTACAAATCAGTAATTGTAATGTCTTCACAGGCTACCGTAGAAGGAAACATCGCATCTAATATGGCATCGCAGAGACTTGAACCCTCTCCCAAGTGTTATAGACCTGATGCTTATGTTTATATGTTACAAAGCCAGAAATCATTTAATTCATTTTTAACAACATTTCGATGGATATTTCCATTGATTAACGGTAAAATCTATACATTGATTCTTGAAACAGGAAAATCTTAAAAACAAATTTCCTTAAATAAACTCAAAATGAGTGTCGACTAAATCATTTTTAAAAAATAAATAAGGGTCTGAAAACTTTTAGGAGCATCCCTAACATAAATGATTACCACTCAGAACAAAAGGAATAGATCATAAAGGTAATGACCAGATGAGGATAAAAACACAATCTCTTCTACTACAGCTATTTAGAAATTCTGGAAACCATTTCTAGATGCAACAAAATTAACTAAGATGGTGGGATTGATTAGTAGACGCTCATGGCAATCACAAAGGACTATACACTATATGAGAATCAAACATGTTACAGTAAATTAAAGGGCAGAAAGAAAGAGAATAAGTTCACAAATACAGAATATATTTTCAGTGATCATTCTGTGTCAAAAGCACACATAGACCAGCACAAGGTGGTGTTTCACTTTGAACATAAATGTGATATAAAAAGATACCAGAAAGTTCACATATCTCCTTCCAAAAGAAAAAGAGAACGTTGTGTAAACCATCCAGACAAACAAATTATCCTTGGTTCTTTATTTATTGAGAAAAATGAACCATGGTTACATATTGTCTCTTCATTTTTTCCACTTGTCGCTGTCCTTTAACGAGATGGATGGCACCCAATACTTACAATAGACTTTCACCCCAAACTGAAGGTCTAATCTTACTGCTTTT